ATTTTTTTAATTTTTAGACATGCTTAACATAAATATACTTAAAAAATATAATATTTATGAAAATAAATAAAAAATAAAAATTCAGTACATTTTTTATATTTATTAATTTTTTCACAAATATTTTATTATTTAGATACATTTAAGTAAAGTGTATCCAAATTAAAGTTAAAGATAATAAATAAATAAATATAAAAGTAAGAGTAAATAAATAATAATATTGATAACAATAATAATAATAATGATAATAATAATAATAATGGGTGTGGTAGTAAAATAAATAATTAATTTTCTGTTGGTATAGGATAGAGTGTAATTTAATTAGGGATTGATTTATTTATATAATTGTATTAAGAATCTGGGCCAAAATGTAATTATCTTAAAAAATTTATTTAGATAAGAACTAATCTACGGTTTTAATGAAGCAATCTGGGTGAATTATAGAAAAAGATTTGAGAAGCGGCAAGATCTGCCATGTGTTGGCCACATAGCACTCTTGCTTCCCTATAATGGGGAAGAACTGATCAAGAGCCATGGAATCACTAGAATCAGCCAGAAAGGAAAGAAAATGAAAAGAGAGGGAGGGGTACGTAAATGGGAAGGTTGTGTTAGTAAAAGAAAGGCTAAAGGTCAATATTAAAGTGAGTTATATTATACTTTGAGTCACCATAATATATTTTTCGTATGTTTTGACTTGCCATAATTTATTTTATACAAGTTGTATTTTATTAATTATATTAATACAAGTTATATTTTATAAATATTTCAGTTACGTGAATTAATTTCTGAACGCTATTTATTAAAATGAAACACATGGATATGTTTATTTATATTTTAAAGAATATTTGACTATAACTTTATAAATAATTATGTTTTGTTAGTACCACCACGAGAGTCCTACGCCTTGGGAGACTTAAATAACCATTGGCTTCTGTTTGGTCACTTTGTGGCCCTCTATTGTCATGGATCTATTGACCTCTGTTCTGTGCGGAGCAAAGTGTTATGCGAAAATAAGTGCTACACTATTATGGGAGCCACTTCTATAATCCGTACGAGCCACCTCTTGAATTCGTATTTTTGTTTTGACTGTCATTCCTGTGACCTCTGTTCTGTTCTGTTCGGTACCATAGTTATGGTTATTTATTACATAATCTCAGTTTTGCTACTTAAATGATTATTTATTCAGACTAGGCTGTCTTAAATATTTTAGTTACATAACTATCCATGGTTATTTTGTGTTCCTTATACTCTTGATATAATATTTCTCACTTTGCCATGTGCTTATCGCTGTTTACCAATTTTCAAAAAACAATACAATTCAGAAATAGCTTTTGGAAAGTCTTAGATGCGGGACTGCGGAATAGACACACACAGTACTTTTATGGATATGTTTATATGTAAATATCGACTTTTTTTGTCAATAAATTTTGTAATAAAAATAGAAACTTCAATGATTATTTTGGTACCCTTACTTAAATATTCCTTCCGCTCGCGTTTATTAATTTGTTTAAGAATTGGCCGGAGGTAATTTCAGTTACTGGCCATCACGATACTTAACCCTTGGGTACGAGGAGCAGGTCGTCACATAACTAGTAAAAAAACAAATTTAACTTTAGCGGAGTCTAAGGAGGGTAAAATGATTGTAATTTTATCCCAATTTTTGAAGAGATTATTTTTGTGACTCGAATCCGCTCCACCAGGGATGCTAAGGACAAACCTTATTATTTGGTTAAGCTGCTCTTTTGAGTTCTTAATCCATTTTCATATCCAACTTTGTTAAATATTTTTTTATTCGCTTTTTATGCATGATTATAGATTGTAAAGTATTTTGTTATAGAATTCTTCTTTTTCACTTTTTTTTTTGATGAAATACAAAACTTTTACCATTGAGTTTTCTATTATATAATATTATATGTACATTTTACATAGAGTATTATATTTTTCACAATATCTTCACTTCTTTTTAATAAAATATAGACTCATTTTGTATCTACTTTTTAAGAAATATTTATTTAAATTAAATTATTATGTAATATATTTTTTTCTATAGAATCTTATGATTTTTTATCCGATTCTACAATCTGATCCTATAAATACCTACAATGATCTACCATATAATTCTGATTTTAACAACCTTTGATTAGTGTGGACTTTGAAGTGAGCCCACTAATCAAGGTGCATGAAACTTCATAATGGCGTCTGACGGTTCTTGAGAATTTTTTTTTAAAATTTCTATTTATATAGAAAATTTATACAAATTTTTTTTTAGAAATAATGTGGTGATATTATTTTTTAAATAAGTTTATTTTTATAACTATTTATCTTAAAATAAAAAATTCACATTATATCACATTATTATATATAAAAATTATGTATAAATTTTTATTTATATATTTATTTACTCATAAAAACACAATCACACATAGACATATACACAAAGATTATAACAAAGACAGGTCCAATAAATTTACCAAAAACACACTCAGTGATAAATTTATGACTAATCGATTTGTAAAAAAATACAAATGCCAAATTTGATTCACTTACTCTCACTTGTGTTCACTTATTCTCTTATAAAAGCCCACCCTCATCTCTCATACACACAGAAAATAAGAGAGACTTATACATTTTTCAATGAAAAATAAATCTGAATCTGAATCTAATTTGGAGCATATTTGGTTTTAGTGAGAAAGAGAAAGAAGGAGAAATCTGGAAAATCACTATTGTTTAGAGCCATTTAGAGTCGATTTCACAATGCCGGGATCTTATCTTCTTATACTTAAGAGAAATATTTAAATATAACAATTCGGTCAGTTCGATTTGTATTATTGTAAAAAAAATTAAAATTGAAACAAACCATCCATTATGAAAAATATACTATATGAAACAACAAACCAAAAATCAAAATTTCAATCCACCTCAATTCAATTTTATTGATTTTTCTTACCGACCATTTGTATATATGTTAATTTGTGGTTTCTTTGTTGAAGTGTGAAAGCAAGCCTAAAAAACCCTCAAATTGTTACAAATCTACGAAAATATTGAATAGCTTTCAGAAAATGATAAAATATTGAAAACAAAGGAAGATAAATAAGTTTTTTGGGAATATATATTTAGTTTTTGAAGAATTTTTAAGAATTAATCTTTAGAATTATTTAAGATTATTTGTTCAATAATTTATTCAATTCTCTCTTCTCCTTTTTTGCATTCTCTTTTTCGAATAATGTTTGAGGGCCCGAAATTAGTGGCTCAAATTTGGCTCAAAACCCAAAACGACGTCGTTTTGGGTTTTGAGCCAAATTTGAGCCACTAATTTCGGGCCCTCAAACATTATTCGAAAAAGAGAATGCAAAAAAGGAGAAGAGAGAATTGTATAAATTATTGAACAAATAATCTTAAATAATTCTAAAGATTAATTCTTAAAAATTCTTCAAAAACTAAATATATATTCCCAAAAAACTTATTTATCTTCCTTTGTTTTCAATATTTTATCATTTTCTGAAAGCTATTCAATATTTTCGTAGATTTGTAACAATTTGAGGGTTTTTTAGGCTTGCTTTCACACTTCAACAAAGAAACCACAAATTAACGTATATACAAATGGTCGGTAAGAAAAATCAATAAAATTGAATTGAGGCAAATTGAAATTTTGATTTTTGGTTTGTTGTTTCATATAGTATATTTTTCATAATGAATGGTTTGTTTCAATTTTAAATTTTTTTATAATAATACAAATCGAATTGACCGAATTGTTATATTTAAATATTTCTCTTAAGTATAAGAAGATAAGTGACTAACAGTACACGTTTTGAAATAAAAACTATGCAGAAAGGCATTTATACAATAAATTTCACCATTTTTCTTCATTTTTATTCCCAATGTGAAATTCTATAACTTTTTATAAAACTCTTTAAATTTTCATGTGAATCTCTTATTTACAGCAAACTGATAAAATCAAATATATGACCTATTTCGGTTCCTCAATTAACAAAATTAAAAAAATTGATTCGATACTAAATTTTCTCTCAATTCCAACGAACCGAAACATTACACCTTAAATCATCAAATGTCCATACAAGAGGTTATTTAATGGTTTAGGAACAATACTTCACATCACTTGCCACTTGACAGTTATCAAGTTGTCTCTCAATATCTTAACAAAAAATATTAAATCCTACAATTTCAACTAATAACATTAAATTAGAACACCATGTCACCAAAAAAAAAAAAAAATTTCTTTTAATAATTACTCTGTTTGGTTTCAATTTTTAGAATTCATTTTTTAGAAATTAATAATTCACTCTATTTGTTTTCACTAAATTATTTTAATATTTTAAGCAATTTTTTTTTAATTTTTAGACACGTCTAACATAAATATCCTTAAAAAGTATAATATTTGTGAAAATAAATAAAAAAAATAAAAATTCAGTACATTTTTTATATTTATTAATTTTTTCACAAATATTTTATTATTTAGATACATTTAAGTAAGGTGTATCTAACAAAGTAAAAAAATTATTTGAAATTTTAAAAATATTTACTAAAAATAAAAAATATGAAAAATAAAAAATTTAATTTTAAAAAATTAAATTTAAAAAACTAAAATCAAACTAATTAAATAATTAGAACACCATGTGAGCTTGCCCATAGACCACCACATAAATTTTCCCTATATACATGTTTCAATCGAACCGGGCTTTGTCAAATTTGTGGGCTGTAACCCAACTTAGGTCTTTGTCCGCAAGGCAACAAACCACCGCCAAGGATCTATGAAATTTTTTTAAAGTTTAAGTGCTACATTGTGTGATTGAGATGTACTGACAAGTCACATCAAAAAAATTAATATGACTTGTCAATAAATCTCAATCACAATGTAACACTCTAAAAAACTTTAAAAAAAAATCACTCAAGACGATAGTTGCTCACAAACCACCACCCAAATGTCCCAATTTTCAGAACCCCAAGTTTTGGGGATAAGACTTTCCAATCCAACAAAGCGTCTCGCTCTCTCTCTCTCTCTCTCTCAGTTCACTCACTCACTCACTCATTCACTCATTCACTCATTCGTAATGGAGGAGGGAGGTGAAAAAGGGTCTCCCAACGGAGCAGACGAAGAGCGAGGAAGACTATATGAAGCGTACAACGAGCTTCACGGTCTAGCTCAGGAATTCGAGACCCCATTCGAGGCGCCGGCGGTGCTGGTGGTGGGCCACCAGACAGACGGCAAGAGCGCCCTCGTAGAAGCCCTAATGGGGTTCCAGTTCAACCACGTCGGCGGCGGAACCAAGACGCGCCGCCCTATCACCCTCCACATGAAGTACAATCCCGACTCTCACTCCCCTCTCTGTCACCTCCTCTCCGATTCCGAACCCTTCCTCCCCCAACAAAAGTCCCTCCAAGAAATCCAGGCAACATTCTCTCACTAACTATACATTCATATATATATATATATATAATGCTTGTGTATATGTATGTACATTGGTGAATTAATTTAGTAGGGAATGTGTTAACCCATTTGGTATAATGATTACCCCAATGTTAATACCCAGTGAATTATATGTTTTCAAATTTCTGAAATATGATATGCTTTTACTGGAAATTTAGCAATTTACCCAAAAAATATTTGCAATATATTTGGTAAAGTTTGTTAGGAGTAAAAAAAGGGCAAATTTCATTTTATTTGTTGTGGTTTGGCCTATGTGTGGATTGTCCTCCTCTCATTTGAAAATAACCACATAGCCTATGTGGTTTGTGGACTGAAGTACACCGATAGGCTTAACTAATAAGTGTGTGAAATACGGATATTTTCGACATTTGTTTTGGAGGTAAAATGCACTTTTACTCCTGTGTTTCGTTCCATGTATGATTTATCCTATTGGAATTTGAAAATGAACATATAACCACTTATGTTTGGCACTGTTTCACACTTGCTTTTAAATTAGACAAAATGTTTAACAATGGACTTTAGTCTACAAAATGTTTAACATGTGAATGAAGTTTTTACATGGCAAAACCTCAAAAAAAAAAAAAGGTCATAATGCTTGTAAAAATGTGTTATTAGAATAATGAAAATTATATTTTATTGGATCTCTAGAAGTAAGTTAAATTGTTATGGTGTAATCTCTACTAGTCTATCCCTATTGCACCATATTTTAGAGCACGTGGCACACCATGTTTTTGTTTACGTTCCATGTACTAGAATGATCCATGTTAGGATTAGGATTACCCTCAGCCTGGCTCTACTTTTTCCTTTTGTTAGTCAATGGCTATAGCGTTCAAGATTTGGCAATTGTGTGACAATGTGTTTATAGCTCTATACTTACACTGCATTTGGTGGGGGGATTGACTAGAAATTAAAGAAAATCTTTTACCTGTATGGTTTGAAATCATTTGATTATTATATGTGGTATGAATGATCTCATGATCTTGTTATTTGTAACAACTTTCTTGAATTATTTAGGGGTTGTTTGGGGTGTCTTAAATAAGTGCACTTTTTGACTTTTTGGACTAAAAAGTTGAGGAAAAAAATATGTTTGTTTGAGTTAACTTTTTGACTTTGTATGGAAAAATGTGTATTAAAAATTTGTATAAATTAGTGTGTATGAGAAGATTTATTTTTTGGGTTGTACGGCTGTCCTTCATGCGCAAGTTGAATAGATGGTAAGAAATTGTCTACTTTACAGGCATTTCACTGGACGGTGCTTTTCGGCTGGTGGGGGCCATTACGGGCCCCGTTTTGATAATCTAAACCGTTCAATGTGTAGCACTTGTTGAGTACTATATCCCTGTAAAAAATCACGTTGATCGGATATCGATAGCTATCTAATCCGATTTGATTTTTTTCAACCGTTAACTATAATACCCTCCTTTTTTTTTTATACAAAACTAATTTGATCATGTAGTTATTGATATTTGATCAATGTGATTTTTTACAGACATATAGTTCTCGACGAGTTCTACACATTGAATAGTTCAGATTATCAAAATGGGACCCGTGATGGGCCCCCACGAGCCGAACAATAGTGTGTTAAAATTGCACCTCAACTGTGCAATTTTCCTTTTGAACCGCAGCACAGATCTGACTTGTTGTGTTTGATGAGTTGTATTTTTGTGTGTAAAATTAATTTTTTAATATTTTTTTTTTGTGAATAGTGATAACTTTTTGAGTAACTTTTTGTCTTTTTTGGGAGATGCCAAACTTGGCCTTAATTTGAAACAGTTCACTAATTGTACCGTTTTTTCGTAACCTGCATTGCTTTCCCCATATTCAAGCTCATGATTTCATTCCTGGGGTTCCTTATATTTGTGTCCAGTGTTTTATGAAATCTGGAGTTTGAATTGTTTTTTATTCATGATTTAATTAATTTATTTGAAACTGCCTCACCCTAGTGAGGGTTAGATGGAAGAATGTCCAGTGAACAAGGTCATGGACATATCACAATTTGAAAATTTCCAATTACCAGAGGTTATGTTTGTTAACAGGTACTTTGATTCCAATTTGAGAATGGTGATTCAAATATTATTTCTTCACCCGTGACTTTATGTAGGCATACATTGAAGCTGAAAACATGAGGTTGGAGCATGAGCCATGTCAATTCTCTGCTAAGGAAATAATAATTAGAGTAGAATATAAATATTGTCCAAACCTCACCATTATAGACACTCCTGGACTTATTGCTCCTGCTCCTGGTCGAAAAAATCGATCTTTACAGGTACAGGTCAAATCTCACGCCAATGAATCAGTAATATATTTCCATTTTTTACTTCATCATTCATCATGGTAGTGAATGTTGCGTCCTTATATATGGCAGGGCCAAGCTCGAGCAGTGGATTCTCTAGTACGAGCTAAAATGCAGCATAAGGAGTTTATCATATTATGCCTTGAAGATTGTAATGACTGGATAAATGCAACAACACGGAGGGTGGTAATGCAAGTATGTGTTTTTCTAGTACTAGAGCCATTTTTATTAAATTTACTTGCAGGTACTTAGTGGCAAGTTGTATAGAAGGTTTTCTTTTGAGGAGAAACACAAGTCATTACTTTCCCCCATCAGTGTACCTACCTATAACAAAATGAAAGCCATATATTTCATGCCAAACTGGTGAAAACTGCATCTTATGATGTTTGGATTCTTTTGAATATTTGGTATTTGTTGTGAACGGTTTGCTTTCCGCATTAATCATATGCAGATCGATCCTGAGCTGTCAAGGACTGTGATAGTCTCAACAAAGCTTGATACAAAAATACCTCAGTTTGCACGTGCTTCGGATGTGGAAGTTTTTCTTTCACCACCTGCAAGTACACTTGATGGCTTCATGTTGGGAGACTCACCCTTTTTCACATCTGTGCCTTCGGGAAGAGTTGGTCCTGGACATGAATCAGTTTATCAATCAAATGAAGAATTTAAACAGGTTTAACCTTCTACCATTAGGGCTTTATCTTACCTTCTATGTTGCTTTCTAAGGATGAAGGTAATACTGATGAAATTTTACAATTCCATACTTTGTATTCAATGTGATTGGCTGTAAGTTTGTAACTTATAACATACAAAATAGACTTAGTTTTCATGAAGTATAGGTGTTCACCACTTCCTCTCTTCGTAAACTGTGGAAACCATGATTATATTCTATATTTGTATTCTGTGTTGTTGTCGTGTCGGTGTTGTGTTATGTGTCTGTGTCCGTACTTAGGGAACGTGGTTTTTCACAAACTGATCCATAATTTATTTTGAGGGTTGTTGGATTTTCTTGAGTTTGTATAAAGACTAGAGAGGATACTTCAGGGAAGGGAGATCATGGGGTTAGATGAACTCCTTCCATGGTTGGGAGGTTTGAGCTCATACCTTTCTATAAGGAGTTGTTGAGAAAAGGGATTCAACATGTTAATGTTCCTTCCAAGGTGGCATTTTTTGGGTGGGAGGTAGCACATTGGAAGATACTGACAGTTGATGACTTGATTAAAATGAGAAAACAATTGGAAGCTTGGAAATTAGGGAAGTACCTTATTATTCATTGTTGGGTTTGTGGAGAGGTATGTTACCGCATGTTGACTTTGTTTTCTATTTCATTAGCATTCCCTCGTTTTGGGGCTGTTTGGTGCAAGTTTATATGAGTTGCTATAGCTTTTTTTATTTAGGGAGTCTGTGCCAAAATGTTTGATGTAGTTTTTGCTTAGAGCTTATTATGTGGAAATAGCTTAAATAAGTTGAGAAAAGCTGATTATCTGACAGCTAGAGGAAAGGTGCTTTATATTTTCTTTTATTAGTTTTTAGCTTACAAAAAGTTGCACTCTATGTTGCTTTCTAAGGATGAAGGTAATACTGATGAAATTTTACAATTCCATACTTTGTATTCAATGTGATTGGCTGTAAGTTTGTAAATTATAACATACAAAATAGACTTAGTTTTCATAAAGTATAGGTGTTCACCACTTCCTCTCTTCGTAAACTGTGGAAACCATGATTATATTCTATATTTGTATTCTGTGTTGTTGTCGTGTCGGTGTTGTGTTATGTGTTTGTGTCCGTACTTGGGGAACGTTTTTTTTGTGTGTGTTTTTTTGAAAGAAGCAATTCGGAACCGTTACGTAACGGTGCGTAACAAGCCGTTACGTAACGGTGCGTAACAAGCCGTTACGGTCGTTACGGCCGTTGTAGTAGCCGCTATGGCCGATACACCTGTGAATCTCAATCACACTGCAAAAGCAGCCGTAACGGGTGGCGGTAACTACCACAACCGTTACGTAACGGTTGCGGCCGCTTTTTAAAACCTTGCTGACAGTTGATGACTTGATTAAAATGAGAAAACAATTGGAAGCTTGGAAATTAGGGAAGTACCTTATTATTCATTGTTGGGTTTGTGGAGAGGTATGTTACCGCATGTTGACTTTGTTTTCTATTTCATTAGCATTCCCTCGTTTTGGGGCTGTTTGGTGCAAGTTTATATGAGTTGCTATAGCTTTTTTTATTTAGGGAGTCTGTGCCAAAATGTTTGATGTAGTTTTTGCTTAGAGCTTATTATGTGGAAATAGCTTAAATAAGTTGAGAAAAGCTGATTATCTGACAGCTAGAGGAAAGGTGCTTTATATTTTCTTTTATTAGTTTTTAGCTTACAAAAAGTTGCACCAAACAGACCCTTTATGTTTGATTTATGCCCTTGTTAGAGTTGGTGCAATGTTGGCAAGAGAAGAAGGAACGCTTGGTTGGCAGCTCCCATGTGTGATGCGACCTTATGGGTTGAAAGAAATAGTGAGCCCTTTGATGGCATAGAGGCTCCAATGCATGAAGTGAAGAGCATGTTTTTGAGCTTATTGTATAGTCGGATCATAGGAATAGTGTACCCATTTATAGCCCTGTTTGGTAGAGCTGTGGGAAAGTGCTTATAGCTTATGCCTAAACAGCTTATAGCTTATAACTTTCAGCTTAAGCTGATTTCCAGCTTATTCTTAAAGCATCTCCTGCCCCACTCAAAGAATAAGCTGTTTTCTGACTTCCACAAAGCTATAAGTTATAAGCTATAAGCTAAACCAAACACATCAAAATAGCTTAAATTAAGCTGAAAGCTGAAATAAGCTGAAATTAAGCTGTACCAAACAGGGCCTGTGTAGGTTTGAGTCTTGAGAGTGGTATAGATATTTGGGAATTGAGTTTTTTTTTTGTTTAGTTATATACTTCCTGTCACCTTAGGGACCTTTTCAAATAAATTTAATTTACTTATCAATAAAGGAAAAGGAACCATAATAGACATTATGAGTTTGCAGTGCAAATAAAAGTAGTATCTACCTCTTCTAAGAGGGTAGCTCACTGCACGTGGCTCCTGTGGGGGCTAGGGAGGGAAGATTTACGCAATCTTACCCGTGTGTGTAGAGAGCTTGTTTCGTGTTTTGAACTCGTGACACCCAGATTGCAATGAAGCAACCTTATTGCAACACCATGGCCTGACATTTGGATTTTATAGTATAACCAAACCAAACCAAGCCTTAAGTCCCATCAAATGGGATCGGCTAATTGTCATAAGGGATTCGAGCGACTTTTTTACGTGTTGGCTGTTGGCTACCTAACACACAACCTTCCTCCTTTACACGGGTTTGGGATCGGCTGAGTTGCTAACAACCTCGGCGGAGTTTAATGATCTTGCCCCACATAGGAAGTTTGCTTGAGTGATCTTGGTTATATAAGGTGCTAGCTTGGTATTAAGTAACTTGGGCTTAAGCATTTTGGTAATGTTGGTAGAACCACTTTCTTTAGGTTACTTAGGCCAGCAAGCTGTGGAGTGTGATAAATGGTATCAGAGTCGACCCGTACACACGACCATGTGGATCACTATTTTAGGCTGACCACAAGCTAATAGTGGTATTTTGAATAATTATAGGCCCGTCGTGAGGATGAGGGTATAAAGGGTGGGAGTTTGAGTTTGTAATGACCCCATTCCACATCGGAAAAATTTGCATGGGTGGTCTGGAAAAGTTACTTGGGCTTAAGCATTTTGGGTCATGTTGGTAGACTTACTTTTTTCAAGTTATTTGGGCCGGTTGGCTGGGGCGTATGATAGTTATTATTATTACATAATTACATTCCTAATGAAAGACACTTTGTTATTTTTTTAAGATTACATTGTGTGTTTTTTATAAGGGATCCGAGCGGTTTTTTTACGTGTTGGCTGTTGGCTACCTAACACATAACTCTCCTCCTTAACCCAGACTTGGGACCGGCGGAGTTGTTAACAATCCTGGCACGTCATCCTAAATATTTCTCGTCAACTCATTCATAACTAAAGTAAAAAGATAAGGACTTAAGGTAGATCCTTGGTGTAACCCTACAGTCATAGGAAATTCATTTGTCTCTCTAGTTGGCGATCTAATAGTGGTCACCACCCCTTCATACATTAGTGTCATCCTGAATATTTCTTGTCAACTCATCCATAATTAAAGCAAAAAGATAAGGACTTAAGGTAGATCCTTGGTGTAACCCTACAGTGATAGGAAATTCATTTGTCTCTCTAGCTGGCGATCTAATAGTGGTCACCAGCTAGAGAGACAAATGAATTTCCTATCACTGTAGGGTTACACCAAGGATCTACCTTAAGTCCTTATCTTTTTGCTTTAGTTATGGATGAGTTGACGAAAAATATTCAGGATGACATGCCATGGTGCATGTTTTTTGCAGACGATATTGTGTTAGTGGATGAGACTAGAGAAGGAGTTAACACAAAGTTGGAGATTTAGAGAAAAGATCTTAAATCTAAAGGATTCCGAATAAGTAAAACTAAGACAGAGTACATGGAGGGTAAATTTAGTAGCAGTAGCAATGAAAACAAAGGAGAAGTGAAAATTGCGAACCAAGAATTGCCTAAGAGCGAACATTTTCGTTATTTAGGGTCGATTATCCCAACAACGGGAGAGATTGATGCAGATATGGCCCATAGGATTAAGGCGGGATGGTGTAAGTGGAGAAGTGCATCTGGGGTATTATGCAATAAACGAATACTCACTAGACTAAGAGGTAAGTTCTATCGAACGGCTATTAGACCAACAATGTTGTATGGGACGAAGTGTTGGGCAATCAAGAAACATGTAGATAAGATGAGTGTGGTTGAGATGAGGATACTGTTAAGTGTTAAGGGTAGTTTAGTCTTTATGTATTATTCTTATTAGTATAAATAGTTGTGTGTAAAGGGGAAACCCTATGCTTTTGAATTAAGAGAAATACAGCAGCTCTCTCTCATTATTCTTTTTCTTCTTCTTCTTCTCATCATCTATACATTCAACATGGTATTAGAGTAATGTCTTCCTCCTTGAAGATAATTTCTCTTTTTCTTTAGGGTACGTCTATCGCAGCAACAGTTAAAAAAAAAAAAAAAACATTATTAACATGCTCGAAATTTAATGGGTATTAACCCTGTAATCTCTTTTTGATGTTTTGATCATTCTTGATTGCTTTTTCTAATTTTTTTGATTTTTCGTCAATTTTGGGTGATTTTTCGAAAGTTGCTGTTTGAACCCTTTTGGCTTGGTTTTGTCCCTTCTTCTCATAATTGTGGGAGCCGACAGGAACCCTTATAGGGTTTACTGTCCCTGGTTTGAAATATTTTGGCCCTACCTGGGCTTTGTTCTACATTTTGGATGGTCTGCTTCAATTTTTTGGGCTTGTAGGTGATTTTTTTTTTTTTTTTGAGTAACAACAAAATTTTATTAAAACGGGAAAGAGAAAGAGGACAAGAAGGCCTCATACAAAGAAAGAAAAAGGGAAGAAGAAAAAACAAAACAAAACAAAATCGCAAAACTCGTAACCCAAAGGATGGTAAACAGCAGCCCAATCCCTAGAGATAAAAAACAAAGGGACTCTTTTAAAAGAAGGAGATACAAATACCCAAAAAGAGGCCAAATATTCCACCCTATCCCACAAAGCCTCTAC